CCAAAACCAACAGTAGGCATAACCTTCTAAGCTGGTCAAGGTGATCTGGGGTTTGAAATTCGAATAATTCGCGCTTCATCATCGCAATGAATACAGTTTCATCACGACTGGATCGTGGGATTGGCTCTTAGTAGTTTGCACGTTGTAGCGGGAGCATTGACTCAATGAGTCCGCGTATACAGGTTGAGCTCGAGTGCTTTGGTCGGGAGCGAAACCGGACTAATTTGCTCTGCTATTTCAAAAAAAGCATACATTTGTGATAAATTAATTATACTGCACTGATACCTTTCACCATCTGTTAAAAAGTAATCGTTTCTCTCTGGCCTGCGGCTAGCAGCCCACGTGTCCCATGGACATCTTCCATATGAAATCTTTTAAGATACTTTGGTATTGATATTCACAAATCACCAAAGTACAACAATTGCACCAAAATTGCTACTAGATATGATTGTGATTACAATTCTAGCAAATCAGAAAACGAGGGATTTATTCAGCAAATTTTTTTTATACAAATAAACTCAACGTCCCTCATCCTATTGGAGCTAGACTACAAATTTAACGTTGCGGTGCACCTCTCCACGATAAAGCATTGAGTCCTAGAGTCCGCGTTCGCTAATGCACCTCACCAGCCTTCCTTCAAAGAGAAATATATCTAAAAACAAGGTAGCTTAAACTGATCCTGATGTATCTGTACTACAATGTTTAATAATATGGACATCCCATAAGGACCTGGTAGTAATCATTATTCTATATTGTTGTGTATATACATGTACTGAAATATGATACATCTGAAATCTAGAATAATGTGGTTCACACTATACACACTTAAGATTGTGTAAATTGAAAAACTCATGAGTACGATGTCTATGAAGGTACAAAATAGCTAGATATTTAGTTGCATCTAGCGAGTGCTTAATCATCGCGAGTTTTCTTCTTCTTCGATACACGCTTGACCTTGACGACCTGCGCCGGAGCCACGTCGTGTGCGAAGAGCTTCGATACCTCAAGTCCCGAGGTAAAGGCGTTGTTGAACATGACACGTTGCTGGAACGACGAGAGGAAGGGAAGAAACATCGACACAATCATAATTGGCCCAAATACAATCCATCCAACCGCACGGTCGTACGCACGAGCAAGTGCACGGACCACAATGTGGTGATACTGCAGACGCAAGATACACATCTGCATAAACCAATAGACAGCCACAGATAGCAAAATCAAGATGGCAAACAAGTTGCTGACTGACAAGACTGCAAGGCTTAACATTGCGATGAGAAAGCAGCAACAAGAGAGCAAAAACTTTATCTTGCGCAATTTACGCTGCTTCATAGACATCTTTTTCGTCACGCGACTTGCAATGTAGCCACAGCAAATCAGCAAGAGAAAAATCACAATCACGAGACCAGACAAAGCGTAAGTCAGCATGTTATCGTCCGAAGTAATGACACGGTTCGGTCGCTCAAAATATGCATCATACATCATGTTCAAATACATGCCGATGGCTATCAACAGGAAACGGAGCTTGCGAATACCAGTAATGAAGCGGGCACCGCTAGTCGTATGCTCAAGGTATTCCTGTTCATTAGACCACCACCCGAACCAACTGTCAGCCGAGTCGTTTGTTGTCTTTAGCCAATTTTGCCAATCATTATAGTCTTCAATGATCTTATCCCAATCCAGACCGCTTGGATTAAAGAAGAACGGAGCCCACATCCATGTCGCGGCAATGATCCACAACGAGTACGACATGATCCCATAGTTTTGGTTCGTTGGCAGCACACACGATTGGTAGTGATCGTCATAACAGCGAGTCCGCCATTCCAGATCTGTCGGTTCAACGTTATTGTAAAAGTCTGCATCCAATCGCCACGAGCAGTTGCACCACGAAAATGTACCGTAAGCGTAAAACATCAGCAGTAGGAAAAAGAGCTCAACCCCACGATAGAAGTGACTAAATGCGTAAAATCGGAAGAGTTCAGCAAATTTTTCGTGCTTTATGGTAAATCCACGACCTGTAGCCCGATACTTGGCACCACCGTGGATCAATGTACGGTCAAAGTAGTGCATACGAGTGCCCATCTGAAAAGTAAAGAAAATAGGGCCAAGCGTCATACAGTTCCAAAGAAGATAGGTGAAACCATGACGAAAACCCTGCTCTACACCTACGACAGCGATAACCGGGACCACAAGTAGGAAGCCAAATTGAAAAGCCCACGAGGTGTTTAATGTGCCGGCAATACCCAGACCACCTTTTTCGAGGAAATAGCTGTCCATGCCACTCAAAGCCATGTAGACCTTGCCATAAATGAAAAAGTAAACACCCACTACAGTTAGCGACTGCGTAAAGTACCAACCCAAATTACCATAGAACCACGAGTGCAAGCGGAAAAAGTCTAAGCGCGACGCCATGCGCATAGCATCGCGAGATATCACAGCCTCACCAGCACCAGAAGATAGTTTTGCTTCGAACAGAGCAAGCTGCTGCATACCGACATCACGGCCCTTGCCCACTTGAATAAATTCTTCATGTGAAATGCGACCACCGCGAAGTGTAGTATTGAAACCGGCAAAGATATCCTCCGAAAGATTTACGCCCTTTGATGCCTTAGCGGTACCACCACAACTCATGGCAAAAAGTTTATCAAAGATATCGGGGTGACCATAGTGCTGACGAACATGAAAGAGAGCAAGCATGCGCTGGCCTAATGATACAAACGACAGCTCCTGAATGGACATAAAACTGGCAAGATTCGACACACCACCCGTAAATACATGCTCACGGAAGCCAATGATTGTCAAAGGGCGCTTTTCAGTGCCACGATCCATAGTCGATAAAAGGTTGGGCATCTTCAATGCCTCTTCAAGATATCCATCCTGATTCATATCAATACACTGCAGCAGCTCACCTCTTGTAAAGATAATAGCGTGATTCTGATTCTCAGGCTTACCTTCACCAATAATCGGGTCACCTGGTAGCTCAACTCGGTACACTTCGACAATCTTGTCATCCTGTGCGCGAACCAGCACGGAAAAGAATTTTGGCGGGGCATCTTTCACTTTCTTCGGTCCGTCCACGTAGGCAACACGTAGATTGGGATGCTTGCGCATCAAAAAGTCAATGTCTTGAGCTTGTTGTCTCTGCTCGTCTTTTTGCTTGCCGTAAATTTGGCAAGTGCACACGTAGTTAAACTTGAGCGCCACCATCTCGTTCAGCTTGCAGCATTTATTGCATGAGCACGATACTTGATGCATTGGTTCATTCTCGCCAATTTCGAGCCAATGAAGGAAGCGAATTGCTTCTGCATTGTACATCATACCACGCACAGTACGGGCAAGTGTCTGACCACGATAACTAGCCCACAATTGCACCTCTTCTGGGTTCTTCTTTAAAGCTTCGCTCATATCCTTAGCCGGAATTCGCTCCAATAAATTCTCCCACTCGAACGGATAAATAGTCTGTAGATAGTACAGCAGCTTTACACAGTCGTCGTTCTGAGCTGTCAAGTCTTTGATTGAGTACATGACGATCTCGTTGTAGTAAGGTGTGGAAACCGTCAATGAGCGAATCTTGCGAATCGGTTTTGCCTCTGGCATGTCCATGAAAAGAGAATTTGCAAAGAACCGTAGGCGACGACGTCCTTCTTCCGAGCGCGGTTCAGCATCGAAGTTGTCAACCGTCAAAAGCTGGTAAGCACGTGATACAATATCGAGTGCAGCCTCGTCATTGACAATTTTTTGCAGCTGAAGACTAGCATAATGCTGCGAGTCACCAGGAAAAAAGAACGAATTGGGCTTTAATGGCGTATCATTTAACATCTGCACCAAATTCTCTTGTTTCGCCAGCACCATCTTTAGACAGTTGATCACGGATTCCACAGAGTCAATGACCTTATACAGCGCACGTTGAAATTTGATGCTCGTTTCTGTCGATTTCTTAGGCACCTCTAAGATGGACTTCATGAGCTCGGCAGCAGCAGCACGACACAAATACAGATTGTCAAGTTTCAGGCCCTTGAGAATTTGTTGATGCGACGCCATTTCTTCAATAAAATTGTAGCAGTCGTCTAGTTCCTTATGCTCATCACCGAGCAGAATGCGCAAAACCTGCGAAGAAAACTTGTACGATCCCAGAATCGATTCGACCCGCAAATCGTCTTTTGTAAGACGATCGCGCATAGTCGTTTCAATCTTCTGAAGAACCTTATCTTTCTTCTTCTTATCCGACTTGAGTTTCTCGTACAGTGCAGAGCACTCAAGAACAATATCAATTGACTCGTCAAGTTTACCAGCCGTCAAAAAGGCGGGCGGGTACAACTTACGGCCCACCGTATCCTTCGAGTCAATCAGGTAGCTCAAAACATTCAACTCACGATCACTAATTACATCAGCTTCACGTAGACTAGTCAGACAACGATTCCAAGCCATGGCAAACGGAATGGTGCGCTCAAATTCCGCTCCTGACACACCCGTTATAGATCCAATGTTTGAAGAGCGGCTCGACTGTGAAGACATGTCTTCATCCGTACCATTTGGTGTCTTAAGCTCGCTGTAAACATCATCATCATCCCGATGATCTAGTAGACTCGAGTACTTTTGCGTCTTGACTGTCAAAGGCTTCGCCCCTTGTGACATCGAAATACGCTCGAATCGACGCAGCGGCATGGCCATTTCATCCTTATCATTTGTATTCTTTTTGTTCTTCTTCTTTGACTTTTTAGCCTTTTCCTCAACGATGTTCGGCACCATCTTGTGATTGAACACGCCAGGAATAGACTTAAACGTCAAACGAAGAATACGGAACGATCGAAGCTCTCCGATCCGCAGATTAAAGCCAGCAAATGATCCGTAAATGACAGAGAGCACCGAATAGAAAATTTGCGCGTCATAAAGAAATACCATCCACGCCGGAATCCACAAAAAAAGAATGTACAAAATGTTATGATATGTAATTTGAAGCATAAAGTGCGAGTACTGAAGATAATCCGACGACTTGGCCGAATAAACAAGCAAGGTCGTCTCAACTAACGTCTTGACAACAAATTGATAGTCAAAGATCAGCTTTACCAAGTACAGCACAATCCAAAAGCATGTATAGCGACAGTAAGTCTTCATAGGAACCGGCATAGAGCGACCCACAAAGCCCATGCCAATGCCAGAAAAGAAGCGATTCTGCAGCTCGCAAACGCACACAAGACCAATCATAGCCACTCCAGCCATTAATGTCATCGCACCTTGGTCTGAGCGACCAGTGTCAATCAATCCCTGCATCATATCCATTAACCTCGTCGGCTTCTTCGATAAACTCGTGATATCAATCTGGCACATGCCACAATTGAGCAATCCATCGCCTTCATCATCCAATACGCTCTTCACCTGAGTATACCAAGCCGGTGCACACATGCTCTGGTCGTACGCAACTGTAGCCACAGATCCTTCAGCCGCCACTTCGTCTGCCGCACCAGTATCACTAAAACAGTCGTCAATCAAATCGTGATAGCATTTGCATCGTCCCACTGTCTTCTCTACACACTTTGTAAACGGCACAATTTTCAACAATTCCTTAAAATCCTGAGGCAATGTGCCAAATGTGTCAGACGCGGACGAAAAATACTGTACTCCCAAACACGTCGCGAGTTTCGCATACAAACACTGTGGCCCTGCTCCCGTTTCCGTGTCAACATCGTCCGACAATGTATCATCCGTATTATCCACAGGAGCACCTGGTGGAGCCGCGTACTTTTTGCCTAAAATTTCCAAAACTCCCGTAGCAGAAGAAGGCTGGACATCTTCTCCATACATAATGGCCGAGTCAGGACACAAGAGGACCATGTTGATAGAAAAGCCCAATGTCGCCAAGAACAAGGCACAATTGACAAAAAAGATTCGTCGAAACGAAGTAATGGCGCGAAACCAACTTCGTGTTTCATTGTAAGTCTTCTTCACAATCTTCGGGCGGCCCTTCTTGTCATAGTCGGCAAATGCGTCACCAATATTTGTATAGTCGTACTTGAGGCATTTTTTCGTCCAGAAAAATTCATTAAAATCATCATAATTGCGAATCTCGCGATGAGGAGCACGAGCTCCTTTGCTCGTCTTTTTGTCATTTTCACGACGCAATTCGACGTACATGGGCGTTATTGTGTTCGTGAGAAATACACCAGGCTCTTCATTTGCGCTGCTAGTAACTTTTGGCAACATCGTGTGCAGTAAGAAGCACAAGCATTCGGGCATTTGCCGCAAGTTAGCAGCTTCGCCCCATATAAGAAAAAACAGCGCAATATCAACAAGGGGATCACTTGAGAATTTGGGCTTTTGCGATACAAACTTGCACCATTTTTTGTAATTAGAAAACACACGAGTATGGAGCCGTGCAATGCCCTTGTTAGCCATTTCTAACTCAAGCTGTGGATCTCGCTGACGTAAATAGTCGTCGAGTGTTTCCGTATCGTCCTGCCCCTTCTTCTTCTTCTTCTTCGTCTCCTCTTCCTGACCACTCTGTTCTTTAAAATTTGTAAGTAAGAGCAGCAAATGCTCCTTTTGATTTAGTACATTGCCTTCTTGGAAACCAAACGAACGCTTGAGTGTTTCGCAAATGTCACCTAATTGATTCGAATGGCTTAGTAATTGAAAAACAGGAGCATATACCTCAGGTAGTCGCTCCATCTCGAGAATATTATGTTTAATCAAATTACGTCCCTTAGGTCCACTGCCGACAATGCTCTTGGCACGTTGACTCTTAATCATCTTTACATAGCGCAACATTTTACTATTCAAACGATCGGCAGCGTCTTTCTCTTCCACTGAACGGTACCGAATACTCAGCGCCTGCTCCATAATATCAACGGCACGCGTGAGCTTTTGTTCGGCTTCGGCTACGTTTGGAGGGGAGGCGTTTTGCAGGGCAACGCCTGCATTCACTAGATTCATAGCTTCGTCACACATTTGACGCTGCATCTCAAGAGCTTCTGTCATAAAACTCCCCGAGCTTCCTTCACGCTCGCTGCCAGTGCCATTGCCCCGGCGATTCATCGCTGTGCAAGCAACGCGAGCGATCGGCTTCCAAAATGATGGCAGAGAAGTTCTGGTATCGCCAGAATTTTGCCTTTTCCACGGGAGGCTCTGGAAACGCCCTCATGAGGGAGCCAGCCTGATCATACCCATACCCTAGATAGTAGAAGCCCATAAACGTTGCGAGTTAAAACTGGCGATCGCAAAAGTGGACAGCCAATCTTCGTTTTTAGAAACTTGAATTAATTTGTAGTAGTATTAGATCAAGAACCAACTTTTGGAACAAGAAGCCGTTAGAGACTCGATAAGGTATGAAAGGGCAATTTGGAGCAGTAGGAGGGCTATCGACGACTGATATGCTGATCGGCATTGTATCATTATCATTCTTAAACAAAATTTATGTACATTTCATTTATTTCATTAGTGCGAACCTTCCAAGTGCTTTTGCTAAGCATGATCTTAATCCATGATGGTAATCAGTAAGATACAACAGCTTAAGAGTGTTAACTTATAAATGTACGAGTACTTTTGCTTGCATTTGTGCTTAGCTATTGCAAGGTATGAAATCAACTATCACAAGATGTTGCTGATTACGTATGTTAAACAAGTTCTTAGAATTATTATTAGATTCTCATAGGCTGTGAATCGTCAGATATTTTGTACTGGATTATGTGAGGTTTTTTTGTACAGTAATTTAGCACTTGTGTGAATAAACATCCTATTGTGTAAATCAGGTGTAGAGATTGTGCTAGCCCCATGCTTCGCTTTTGTCAATTGAGCATCATACGTCAAAAATAAATTTTTAGATGTACGAGATCTGCTGTACGGGAAGCAGTACGACACACTTCGATAACTTCACAATCCGACGGTATTTGATATACTATGAGAATCAGTATAAACGCTGGATGCCTAATAAAAAAGTGACTCGGTGGGAGCAGTATCCGTTACATCGCGATTTGCCCTGTATACTTACCTAGTTAGCTAGGTGTATATACAATTACCAATAGTATCAGAACGTGTAGCTTCATTGACCAACGAGTACGTTAGTATATCATCCGTGTCGGGTTCGAGTAGAATCTTGAATGCAAGTGTCGTGCCCACTACACACTGAAAGGAAAAGTTCATGTGCAATACATAGGCATGTTAGAGGACGCGAATTCCTTGATGGACGGATCATTTGATATTAGAAAGGGATGTTACCGATTTATCTAAGTCAGTAGATGTACCCAAGAACTATTAGCTAAAAATCAAGCACGCATCTCCTGGCGAAACGTTGAAAAATGACTTTCCGCTAGGACCATCTGCTTCAATAAATGCTCTTGGCATTTTGATAGAATTTTCACTAAATCCATTCAAATCAAGACAGTAGCCAACAAAAAGAAGCATGAGTGAGACAAGCCTTTACAAATATCAACACATACTTTCAGCCATCGAAAGTCTATTTTTCCGACCTCGATTGGATGGCGATAGCTTTATGGTAACAGCTGCAAGCGCCTTGCCTTTCCCCAATGTGCACTCAAAAGAGTTATAAATAATGCATATTCAGTGCCTTTGCAGGCGTGTATTGGTTTGCTTAAGAATCATGATACAGCAAGCATACAAAAGATGAACGACAGCATCGATCAATTCTGAAATCCAATATTCATGCGCAAGAAAGCACAAGATCATGGCTCTACGATTTGCTACTCTAGTCGCTTCGTTTCTTCTTCTTAGCGACACGCTTGACTTTGACGATCTTGCTTGTGGACGACGCTGCCTCGTTCGCAAAGAGTTTCGAAACTTCAAGGCCTGACGTGAATGCATTGTTAAACATAACACGCTGCTGGAAAGATGAAAGGAACGGCAAGAACATAGCAATGAAGAGTACGGGGCCGAAGATGATCCATCCCACCCAACGATCGTAGGTTCGCGCCATTGCACGCACAACGACGTGATGGGTCTGGTTGCGGTAAATGCAGAGCTGCAGGAACCAGTACGCGGCGATCAAAATAATGACAGTAATCTCCATCAAGTTTACAAGCGAAATGACTAGTAGACTCGCACAAGCTACTAGGAGGCCGCAGCACGACAAAATAAACTTCATTTTGCGCAGTTTTTTTTGTTTGAACGTCATTTTTTTCTTGATACGGCTCGCAATGTAGCCACAACATAGCAGCAAAAGGACCAGAATAAACATGGCACCAGCAAGCGCATATGAAATCATCGATCCCTTCTCAATTTTCAAGTCTCGGTCTTCGTAATACGTTTTGTACGCTAGCTGGAGATACATGCCATAGGCAACAAAGAAAAAGCGCATCTTGCGGATAATCGAAACAATACGCGAGCTTTTGCTCGAGTGCTCCAAGTACTCAACTTCATTTGACCACCAGCCTGACCAACTGCCAGCCGAGTCATTTGTTGTCTTAAGCCAATTTTGCCAATCAGAGTAGTCCTCAATTAGCTTGTCCCAGTCAAAACCACTTGGATTGAAAAAGAATGGCGCCCACAGCCACGTCGCTGCAATGATCCACAGCGAATACGACATCACACCATAATTTTGATTAGTTGGTTCAACGCAGGTCTGATAGTAATTGGCGTAGCATCGAGTTTTCCAGTCATTGTCTGAAGGCTTGAAGTAGCTATAAAACTCAGCATCCAAAGTCCATGAACAATTGCACCACGAGAACGTTCCATAGATTCGGAACAGAATCAGCAAGAAGATAAGCTCGACTGCACGGTAAAAGTGACTGAATGCGTAGAAGCGGTACAGCTCTGCGAACTTTTCGTGTTTGATCGTAAATCCACGACCTGTAGCTCGGTACTTGGCACCACCATGGATCAACGTGCGGTCAAAGTAGTGCATACGAGTGCCCATTTGAAACGTAAAGAACAGTGGACCAAGCGTCAAAACGTTCCACAGTAAATACGTCACACCGTGGCGGAAACCTTGCTCCACACCTACGACGGCAACGACAGGAACAACAAGCAAGAAGCCAAACTGAATTGCCCACGACGTGTTTAAAGTACCACCAATACCGAGACCACCCTTCTCGAGGAAAAAACTGTCCATGCCGCTGAGAGCCATGTACACTTTACCGTAGATGAAGAAAAACACACCCACAACTGTCATTGTCTGTGTGAAATACCAACCCAAATTACCATAAAACCAAGAATGTAGGCGAAAAAAGTCTAAGCGAGACGCCATGCGCATTGCATCGCGCGAGATCACACATTCGCCAGCACCAGAAGACAGCTTGGCCTCGAACAAAACCAGTTGCTGCATACCAACGTCTCGACCCTTGCCTACTTGAATAAACTCTTCGTGCGAGATACGACCGCCACGTAGCGTGCTATTGAAACCCGCAAAAATATCTTCGGAAAGATTCACTCCCTTGGAAGCTTTAGCAGTACCACCGCAGCCCATAGCGAATAATTTATCAAAGATATCGGGGTGACCGTAATGCTGACGAACATGATTTAGCGCCAGCATACGTTGACCTAACGACACAAACGACAATTCTTGGATCGACATAAAACTGGCAAGATTCGAGACGCCGCCTGTGAAGACATGCTCACGGAATCCAATGATTGTAAGAGGGTATTTGGCAGTCTCCGAGTCTTTTGTAGACAAAAGGTTGGGCATCTTAAGTGCCTCCTCAAGATACCCATCCTGGTTCATATCGATACATTGCAGTAGTTCACCACGCGAAAAGATAATGGCGTGATTCTGGTTCTCAGGTTTACCTTCACCAATGATTGGGTTTCCTGGAAGCTCTACACGGTAAACCTCAGCAATGTTTGCGCCATCAGCACGAATAAGAACCGAAAAAAACTTAGGCGGGCCCTCTTTCATCTTCTTTGGACCATCCACATACGCAACGCGTAAGCTCGGATGCTTGCGGAGAAGAAATTCAAGATCAGCAGCTTGCTGACGCTGCTCATCCTTTTGCTTACCGTAAATTTGACACGTGCACACATAGTTGAACTTCAAAGCCACCATTTCATCTAAACGCTTACATTTATTGCAAGGACAGCCAAACTGATGCATCACTTCATTCTCACAAATTTCAAGCCAATGCAAAAAGCGTATTGCATCTTCGTTGTACATCATGCCACGCACAGTACGAGCCAGAGTCTGACCACGATAACTAGCCCAGGACTGAACTTCCTCCGGATACTTTTTCAAGGCCTCCTCCATATCCTTTGCTTGAAGTCGCTCCAACAAGTTTTCCCATTCGAAAGGATAAATTGTTTTCAAATAGTACAATAGCTTGATGCTATCATCGTTCTGAGCCGTCAAATCTTTGATTGAATACATGACAATTTCACTGTAATACGGCGTGGATACTGTCAACGAACGGATCTTGCGAATAGGCTTGGCATCAGGCATGTCCATGAATAGCGAATTCGCAAAGAAACGTAAGCGACGTCGTCCTTCTTCAGAACGTGGCTCAGCATCAAAGTTATCGACTGTTAATAACTGATACGCACGCGACACGATGTCCAATGCTGCCTCCGAGTTCACAAGACGTTGCAGCTGGATGTTAGCATACTGCTGCGCATCACCCGGAAAGAAAAACGAGCTTTGTTTAAGGGGGGTATTCGTCAAGATCTGCACCAGATTTTCCTGCTTAGCTAAGATTTTCTTCATGCAGCCTAGTACAGCCTCAACGCAATCAATCACGCGGTAAAGCGCCCGCTGAAACTTGATGCTGTTATCGGACGTCGTCTTTGGTACCTCAAGTAACGCCTTCATTAGCTCAGCGCATGCAGCACGACACTCGTGTAAACTTTTAAGATTCAGCCCCTTCAAAATCGATTTCTGGGCAGCCATCTCTTCCATAAACTCAAAGCATTCGTTCAAATCTCTATGTTCATCGCCCAACAAGAAACGAACAGCTTGTGATGTAAACTTGTACGATCCCAAAATCGACTCCACACGCAAATCATCTTTTGTGAGACGATCACGCATGGTATTCTCGATCTTTTGGAGAGTCTTTTCTTTCTTTTTCTTGTCCGAGCTAAGTTTCTCGTATACAGTCGAACAGTCCACGATAATATCTAGAGACTCATCTAGTTTGCCAGCGGTTAAAAAAGCAGGTGGATACAACTTCCGATCTTCGGCATCTTTCGAGTCAATCAGATAACTCAGAACATTCAGCTCACGGTCGCTGATTACATCACCTTCACGAAGACTGCCAAGACAGCGGTTCCAAGCCATAGCAAAAGCAATTGTGCGCTCAAAGTCTGCACCAG